GATACATCGACTGGATACGGTTGCCCCGAAAGGGCTAAACGAAAATATTACATTTTCTGTGTTCCTTTGATTGTTCGTATACATTATTATACACACTATATAGATTATATGATATGGTGTGTGAGTATTATTATTAATGGTTAATAGTTCTGTAATTACATAGAAAAAATCTCTCCATTTCAATAGTAGTCAAATATGCATCTATATTATAGTGCTCCATGAGAATGAGCATTAATGGCCTTATTTAGTGATCCATTTTTTGTTCTCTTACTTAGTTATGCTTATAGATCTTTAAAATTATATATACAGGTTCTATGATAATTTTGTTTTAATCTTTTCTATTCATCTTGTCAAAATGAAACTCTGCCTTAGCCCTAGGTTATGTTTATTATAATGACAATTATGTGTGACTCTTCCTTGTATTGTTCTGATCTATTCATAGAAGGTAGTAGCACAATAATCACTTGGATCTTTGCAATCACATATTTGCAATGTGTTATCACATTTTTTATGCATGCACTGGCACTTATTTATCAGCACTTGTCACTTTATTTGTGTATCGTTATACACAATACTCTGGTCACTTTGTAGTCTGGGCACATTGCTACACATTGCTTTATCCAGCGTGTATTATACACGCTCCTATCCAGCACTTGTTACACTGGTATCTTAGCAACGAGCAACACGTCATCACGACGGCATTACGCCACACCACGTGATCGCGGGTTCACTTCCGGGTTCGCACGGAGAGGATGAGGGAGGCAATTCACCATTGGTGAGTACTTTTCTTATTTCACTATTTATTGATTCCACAGATTTTGACATATTGATCTTGAGGAAGACCCTGAGGGGTCGAAACGTTGATCGTATTATGTAATCCTTCTTTTTAAATAAATACTGCAATTTTTGTTTATACAAGTCCTTAGAGTGCATCTCTTATTCTCCGCATATATTTTTCAACGTGGGATTGCACCAAGGCATCAAAATCTTTGAATTGGAGAAAGGGTGAGTGCCAAGCATTTCTGTTTTATATATATGTATATATATATATATATTTATGCAATAATGTTACATAATTAGGTAATTTCATTAATTGCAATTTGAGGGACCTGCTTGACAACCCAGGCCAAAAGTCCAGGGAATTTAATTTGCTAGCACTATATTTAGCCCTGTAACTTTCCAAGACACCATAAAACCTGTACATGGGGGGGGTACTGTTTTACTCAGTAGACTTCGCTGAACACAAATATTAGTGTTTCAAAACAGTAAAATGTATTACAACGATGATATCGTCAGTGAAAGTGACATATTTTGCATTTTTCACACACAAATGGCACTTACATGGACAATATAATTGTTGTGATATGTTTTATTGCTTTGAAACACTTAAATTTGAGTTCAGCGAAGTCTCCCGAGTATAACATTACAGGTTTTATGGTGTTTTCAAAAGTTACAGAGTCAAATATAAGGCTTGCGTTTCAGTTTTTTCACATTGAAATTCGCCAGGTTGGTTATGTTGCCTTTGAGACAGTATGGTAGCCCAGGAATGAAAATGATACCCATGATGGCATACCATTTGCAAATCCTTGGGTTGTCTACTATTGCAAATGGTATGCCATCATGGGGGTAATTCTCATTCTTGGGCTACCATACGGTCTCAAAGGCAAGGTAACCAATCTGGCGAATTTCAATGTGAAAAAACTGAAAAATGTAACATGCTATATTTGATCCTGTAACTTCCCAAAACACCATAAAACCTGTACATAGGGGGTACTGTTGTACACGTGAAACATCTCTGAACACAAATATGTGTATTTTATTGCAGTAAAAGCAAACAGTATTATGACATTCACAGTCATGTAGAACTAAAAAAAAAATTAAAATTCTTATTTTCTCCTTTTTTTTAAAAATATATTTTATTCATATTAAATTGAAGATTATGCTAGCGCTAGTGTACTTATAATCTTAATTTTAATAATGACAGGAGGCGAGTATTTTGCATTACTCTCTTTACTTAACTCCACACAGGGCCGTCTTTAGCGCGGGGCAAACGGGGCAGCTGCACCGGCCTCAGTTGCGCCTGGGGGCCCCCAGAGCACCTGCCCTGTGGGCCCCGCGATTTGCGCAGCCGCATCGTCCCACACACTAAAGAGGGCCCCCGGGATGCACTAAGGGCCACCTGGTGGGCATTTGTCAGCAGGGGTCCGGTCGGGCGCTATGACGCTTAAACAGAGCGACCGGGCCCCTTCCTGTTTGGCAGCCGGCTGGGAGGAAGTGAGTGCCGCGTGTCACTTCCTCCTACAGGAGATCAGAGCCGCGCGGGAGGAGGAAGGCAGGGAGGAGAGGAGTTTCAGAGGAGAACTCCCAACTGCCTCAGCCTGCCACTGGACCCCAGGGAAACCACTCTCCAGAAAAGGGTTGTTGGAGGGTGGCTAAATGTATGTCAGTATGTCTGTGCGTGTCAGTATGTCTGTGAGTGTGTCAGACAGTATGTTTGTCAGTGTGTGTTTCAGTATGTCTGTCTGTATGTTAGTCTGTCTGTGTATATGTCAGCATGCCTGTGTGTGTCAGTATGTCTGTGTGTGTGTTATGTCAGTATGCCTGTGTGTGTGGTCAAAATTATGTCAGTGTATGTGTGTCTGTATGTCAGTATGTCTGTCTGTTTGTGTGTCAGTATGTCTGTCTTTGTGTGTGTCACTAGGTCTGTCTTTGTGTGTGTCACTAGGTCTGTCTTTGTGTGTGTCACTATGTCTGTCTGTGTCAGTGTGTGTATATCAGTATGCCTGTGTGTGTCAGCATGTCGGTGTGTGTGTGTCAATACTTCTCTCAGTGTATGTGTGTGTGTCAGTATTTCTGTCAGTGTATGTGTCTGTGTGTCAGTATATCTGTCAGTGTATGTGTCTGTGTGTATGTATGTGTGTGTCAGTATGTCTGAATGTGTGTCAATATGTCTGCCAGTATATATTTGTGTGTCAGTGTATGTGTGTCAGTATGTATCTGTGAATGTTTTAATATGTCTGCCTGTGTGTATGTGTCAGTATGTCAGTGTGATTGGGGGTTGGGCGTAATTGGGGGCGAGGGGGATTGGGAGGGTCGCAGGGCCCAGGGGGCCCAACAAAATTCTTTGCTCAGGGTCCTATTCATACTATAGACGGCCCTGACTCCACAGCAGTAAAGAAAGTGAAAACATTTAAACCAATCAAAATGCAAACAGGGAGTATATTATCCCAGTGAACAGGCTCCTCCCCCTCTTTCGGAAGCGACATCGGAACAGGGAAGAAAGTTAGCGATAAAGTCTGTAACGAACATCAGTAGTGGTATCTAACGGGAATGATGAACTTCTTGGCTCGAGTAGAAATAGGCACCAACGGGTGAACGTCTAATAGGAGTCTTGGTCTTTATATGATGAACCGTAATCCTATGG